TCTTAAAATTCGCTTGCAACTAAATCATTAAATGTTACTTTTTGGGGGCATTTCATTTTCTTGGAATTGAATTTTGTTTTCGGGGGTCATTGGATTTAAGTGTCATCAATCAATCAATCAATCAATCAATCAATCAATAAAAAGATATCATCACCGTGGGGAGGGGGGCGATGATAACTTCCTCAATGGCTCAAGGGGGCGTTTCTTTCAAAAAGGTTAAGAACCACTGATCTAAGGCAGTGGTCCCCAACCTTTTTCGGTCCGTGGACCGGCTGGGGAAGGTGGGACACCCCTTGCGCTTGTGTGCACGCACAAACAAGTGCTCACTCTCTCACACACGGGCGCCCCTGTACATGCGCAAATGGCAGCGCAGTGCTTATCTGGGCATGCGCGTGCTCGTGTGCATGCGCAAACAGCGGCATGGCGCTCACATGAGTGTGCTGGAGCGTGCGCGCAGCCGCAAACAGGCTGTGTGGGGGGGGGAGGTCTGTCTTGGTGGTCTGTCCGGCTCAGGCTGGGTTGTGGACCTCTGATCTAAGGTACCATATGGAATCTGATGTGAGTGCAGGCTACTTTTATTTTTGAATTTGGCCCGTGCTGTATTGTTTACCTATATGCTGTTTTTCTGAAGCACCAGGTATTATTATTTGTAATGTGAAATTGGCCAGATAGCTTGGTGAGTTCGTTATCTGGCTAGTGAGTCAGAAATTGGGAGTTTGATTCCCACTGTGCCTCTTGTGTAGTTTTCGGCAAACTGCACAGTCCCAGGGCACACCAGGAAAATGGGGATGGTAAAGCATTTCTGAGTATTCTATATACTTGGAAACCCTGGAAAGCGTGCAATAAATCAGAATTAACTTGATGGTGTGTAATTATTATAATGTGATATTATTACAACAAATAGAACATGCTTCAACTTCTGATATAGCAAAGCAGGAGCTACTAAGGAAGTTGGTTACTCTACCTGCTTTTCACAATTCACAATTTTATATTTGGCATAGGTTATACCCAGGAATTCATTAGTATAGAAATATAAATGGGGAAGTTACAGATGTCACTTGCAGCAATGGCTACAAAAAATATTGGAACGATAATAGGAACAACTGCCAGCCATATCAGTAATAATAGCCCCATTTACCGGCTACACTTCCTAACTCTAAGACATGATTAAAGGTTAGGACTGTGTGTGTGAGTGGAAAGGCTGTTACATGAACCCTATCTGTCACTTTATACATGTTCTAATCTCTTGAGAGTCCCTGGACTGCAAAGAGAACAAACCTAGCCATTCTGAAGGAAATCAACCCTGAGTGCTCACTGGAAGGACAGATCCTGAAGCTGAGGCTCCAATACTTCGGCCATCTCATGAGAAGAGAAGACACCCTGGAAATGACTCTGAGGTTGGGAAAGTGCGAAGGCAAGGGGAGAAGGGGACGACAGAGGATGAGATGGTTGGACAGTGTCATCGAAGCTACTAACATGAATTTGACCCAACTCCGGGAGGCAGTGGAAGACAGGAGGGCCAGGCGTGCTCTGGTCCATGGGGTCATGAAGAGTTGGCTACAACTTAATGACTAAACAACAACAACAACAATTCTTGTCACAGTAGTCAAGCAACCTATACCTGCTCTTTCCTGTCCAGATGAGTTATCCTTTAGAGCCTTGATACACCCATTATGTACTAGCTCTCCAAGTCGTCTGAGGTCTATCTCAGATTTATCCACCAGTTCAGCATCTCTAGCTATGGCATCTAACCTGTAAAATAGCACAAATTTTATTTACAATGATAATTCCAATACACTGCATTATTTTTCACAACAGAAAACATAAAAGGGAGCAGTGCTAGTTATTCATACTACATTTTAATGAGGAAATATACATAATTTACCCTCTGTATAACCTGATAGTAGCTCTGTACTTGTAGCCAGTACACCGTGGATGTTGAACAGTTTTAAAGATACTAGCTCACTCTTAGCCTTATCTGGAACTCTAGTAAGGAATTGTTGTAAGCTGGACCCTCATCTTATTGCGCCCGCTTGAATTCCTGCCCTGCTGTTTCTCTCCCTCAAAGCTTTTTCCTGAGCATTACAGATAGATTTCTCCCCCTCCCCCACAGTTTACTCATATCCACTGGGATGTTGCTCTTGCACCCCCAGAACCTTGCATTAGCAAAAAAGATCTCAAATCATGCAGCATCCCTTGCTAGGAGAGCAACGTGTGATGGGTCCTAAGGCTCAGTAAGATGAACAGGATACATTCTCTTACCTAACTGAGACATATGTGCTCTAACTTCTAAAAAAATATTACCAAGGAGGCTTGTGCCCAATGGACCATCTCTCTGGGGCTGAAGAAAATTTAGAGAAGGAGCCAAGTGATACAAAGCCTCTCCTGGGCTAAGGGAAAACAATCAGAGGCTTTATAGTTGAAGTGCAAAGGTCACATGGCTCATGACTTACTCGAGTGGTAAGGAAATTTGTGATTAGCTCTTTTGTGGCAAAGAATAATCCCCACAATCTTCATTTAATCAGTTTCCTATTATTACTAAGTTTGGAACAAGAAAAATCCTTAAATGAACAAGTTGATAGAAATTTTGCTGCTCATTTGAATGCAGTACACAGAGGGACAGTCTAAGCCAAGATACGTACAACTGAAGTAAGCCTTTCTGTTGAGACATCAAAAGAAAACACTGTTGGATTAAATAATACGCTCCATACATGTGGGGAGACGGATTCAAACCCTCTTAAGACTTATATTGGCTTTTAATACCTATGAATATTTTTGCATAGTAAAAGTCTACCTACAGCTACCGTGTTTCCCCGAAAATAAGACAGGGTCTTATATTAATTTTTGCTCCAAAAAAAGGCATTAGGGCTTATTTTCAGGGGATTTTTTTTCAAGTACAAGAATCTAAATTTATTCAAATACAGTCATATCAGCACAATGGTGGAGGTGGGGTTTCAGTTAACTAGGGCTTATTTTTGGGGTAGGGCTTATATTATGAGCATCCTGAAAACTCATATTAGGGCTTATTTTCAGGTTAGGTCTTATTTTTGGGGAAACAGGGTATTTCCATGGTTTATTACAAAATCTAAAATTAATTCTTGTCCTCCTGGAAAATATTCAATTGTCAAGTAGAGAGCTTACCTTTCAAGAGGGCCCCCAAATTTCTTGTAACTCTTGATAAACCTAATAAAAAAAGATTTGATAAATTAAGTACTAGGTTTTTCTATTACTTTTGTTTGTGATACACATAAACCAGGAAAATATGCTGATCTGTTGAGTTTTACCATGCATGTAAGGGGATTTTTTACTATTTGCATTTCTCTCCCACTATGTGCAAATTGTCCACCACACAACTGATTACATGATCAACTGAACAAAAAAGGAATCATGATGTGTATGACAGGTAGCCTGAGAAAGAAACACATTACTTGAACAAGTTGCCCTTCTGCACTCCATGATCTCAACAAGTTATTGGCTATATTTGCTATAAATAAAGCAGACTGTATAAATTTTACAAAGGAAAAATGTTAGGGAACTTCAACAAACAAACAACATGTCCACACATAAAATACTTATGGATGAATATTAATTTGCTTCTTAATGTAAAGCTATGTAAACAAAAGCATTACATTGATTTTTAAGACAACTTTTGAAGCCAAGGATGGGTGAAAGTGAGGGGGAGACATAAAATTATGGCTATTATAATAAAAATCCAGCATTCAATTAATTTTTAGCCTACGGAATAGATTTTAAGAAGAATGTGCCCTACCTTTTCTTTACACTTAACTTTATATAAACTTGTTTAAATCAATCTCCACCAAGCAGTTTTCATTTTAATTTAATGCATGAAAGGGAAATGCCATTTTAAGACATATGTAAATGAACAAAGAGACTTAAAATAATGAATCTTGAGACACCACATAGGTAATAGAAGAACACTTCTATATTTTAAATTTAGGTTCATGAAAGCAATTTCACTGAAACTTTTTTTGTGTGTCTTTCTAGTCTTGGCCTTATTGTCCATCCTTACCTCCGAATCTCTGCATCACTAAACCCCTTAATATTTTCCCGTGGAATAGTACGTGGTCTTCCACGTTTTTTGGGGCGTTTTCTTTCTGAGATTGAGTCACTATCTGATCCAGAATATCTCCTGTTCCTACAGCGTCTCCCTTCATTTCCATTAAAGCTGATCTATATTGAAAAAGAACAAGAAAGCACAAGGAGCTCAAACTTGATTTTAAACAACAGTGTCTCAAATCATAGAAAGCAATGAGAACAGGAAGACATTTCCAAGATAAGACACACCTGTTTTGCACAGTTTCTCATTCTTGGAAGTAAATATATTTCTTCCAGTTCCTTTTGTCTTTCCTCCTCTTCTAATCTTCGCCTGTGCACCTCTGGAATGATTTCTTCCCAATTCCTTGAATTTTGTTCAGGTTCCAAGTCAATATCATCTTCATCCATGTTGGAGAAATTAGCTACCTGTTAAAACATATGTTTTGTTTTATATAATTACAAATACTGAAATCCTGTTAACAGTTGTGCAAATGGCATAACTCTGGGAAGCAAATCACTTTAGTTGTGCAATCCAACATGCGACACATAATGCCTATGAGGGGATCGCAGCTTACGACTATTCACATCTAAATGTTACTCTGTTTGAGTAACTTCACAACAAGATTTCAGCAGTGTCTGTTTCCATATATTAATGCCAGAAGGAACAATATAGAGAGAAATATAATAAGCTCCTGCACTTAATATATTGCCTTAAACCCAACAAACTCTTAGGCATGCTTGAGATATCTGTGTTGGATTTAGCCCAATATATTTGCCCCCCACCAAAAAAGACTGTACTGAGAAGTGTTCAGATTCACTCTTCCTATCCTGTTTTCAGCTGTGAGTTCGGAAAGATGCTGCAGCTTACAATTCAAGACACACACATCAAAAGATGCAGTACAGCAAGGTGGTTGTGAGAGAGAATTGACAGCACACCAATACAATGTTACTACCAAAAAAACAACTCAGTCATATAGCATTCTATCAAATGGGCCACCTTGGGTCCTTTTAAGGTGAAAGGCATGTTAAAAATATTCTAAATAAATAAATAAAATGAAGTGTCTATATTTGTTTGACCAACATGCTTCAGCCATCTTTTCTCCTTGTCTATCTTAGAGAAACGTTACTGAAAAACTTGGTAACTTATAGCACAAACCTATTCATATTTATGTGAAAATGAGAAATACTGAGTTTAAGGGAACATATTTTAAGTACGTATGGATTATAGCCATGCTCTGAGACTGTTTCTTTAATAAATCCAACAGACCTAAATCCAACATCACCCTGAAAGAATGAAAATCCTCATTAGTACAGTGCAGCACCTATCTGCTTGCTTGTCTTCCTCTTTCAGACTTTTCAACAAATCTCTGCCAGGCCCTGAAGGGAGTAAGATGATACTCTAGGCCAGCCTCCTGACTGGAAACCAGCTTTTACAGTTGGCAATGCTGGAGGAGCATCAGTTGTTTTTCTCAGAGACAACAAAAGCTAGCAAGTAATCATCAACAGTGCTGGGGCTAGGCAGGAAAGAAACTGGAGTTGGGTTGCTTCTCCACTATGAGCTGTGTTTGGAGTCTAATTTGTACATATTGGAGCAAGTGGGAGCGGTTAAGATATCACCTCATCCTGCAGGAAAACTGTCATGGATACTAGCCTTACACTGACTCTGAAAATGTGCAACCACTACTGCAATACCTCTTGCTTTAATACAAAATATTAAAGTGTTCAACTCTCTATTTTCAAAGCTCAATCTTGCACCAACAAAATAAAACACTAACAAACCATGGTCTCAAAGAAGAGGCACAAAAATTCTTAGTTTTCTAAAATGCATTAAATCCTGAAATTCAAATATGGAAGAATTTCCTGATCCCCATTACTAGAAACTTATAGAAAAATATAATATAGGTCTCCTAGGCAAAGATTTCTAAATAGGTTAAAGAAAAACAACAACTGCATGAAAGGAAATGTAACTAGGTAGTGGCTATATAAAACTGTGTCGTTTTATACCGTATTTCCCCGAAAATAAGCCCTACCCTGAAAATAAGCCCTAGTATGATTTTTCAAGATGATTTTAATATAAGCCCTACCCGGAAAATAAGCCCTAGTTAAGTGAAATCCTCCCAAGCCATCAAGAGAGACTTAAAACATCTTCCCCCTCCTCTCCCACTTCCCTCGCTTGCAGAGGGGCTGGGCAGCCAGGGACTTGCTTCTTGGCTGCCAAGTTCCCAACAGCTCTTGGGGCTTGCACCTCTGCAGTGTGCGCACTCCCCCCCCCAGCGTGCCCCCAGGCAAGGCTAACAAAGCACAAGGTTGGAGGGGAGGAGCGATTTCGGAGCTCCGCCCCTCTGCCAGTCCCCCGCCCTGCCTTTATTTTCCCCCCTACCCTCTTTCTCCTACCATAACTCTTTTAACCCTCCTCTTGTTCGGCTCCCTCTTCGGTGCTTGGTGCTGCTGGCAGGGCCACATGTTGAAGCAGCCACCGCCCTTTCTTCCACTGGGCTTGGGGGCTTCAGACCCCGCCCCCTTCCACACCAACACCGCCCCCTTCACTGCTGCCATTGTTTCCCTCGAAAAAAATCCGGTGCTCGCCAACCCCAATGGGAGCCTCAGGCCAGGCACTGCCACTGGAGGAACCCGAGCCACCACCATGGCGCCTCCTGGCAGCGGCAGAGGCATCCCTGGGGTAAGTGGCACCGGGTACATTTAAAGAAGGGGAAGGAGAACAGGAATAAATTAATAATAACAAATAAAATAAATGATGCTAACTGAATAAATGTAGATGTTCTTTAAAAAAATCCCCTGAAAATAAGCCCTAATGCATTTTTAAGCAAAAATTAATATAAGACCCTGTCTTATTTTGGGGGAAACATGGTAGATATATTTAATATATGCTAAAGAATAAGAAATTGTGATACCTTGAACTGAGAAAGCAACTCATCTCCCACGCTTAATGGACCAGTTTCATTTTCCCGTGTTTCAGCTCTTTTCAAAATTTCATCTATGTCCATTTCCTGAAAAGGTAAATGCAAGTGATGTAATGGAAACGTTGGTTTGAGAAGACAAATAGATCAGCTATTGGGACATTCAGCAACACGTACCTGTGGCTCCTGTTCTTCACCTTCTGGTTCCTTAAAAAGTTCCTCAGCACCAAACTTTAAAATAGCTGACAGCTCCTCTTTGTTGAAAGGAGCAGAGCTGAAAATGAGACAAATAATTTTATTTCAATTATTATCAACAGAAAAAAAAATCCCACTGCCTAATTCAATTCAATGTTTCTAGAATTCTAGTATTCTGAAAGACTTCCTAGTGTACACACTTTTACCTAATATCAAGGCACAAAAATGTGTTTCTGATAGAGATGTTCTCTGGAGGGGAGTGCACAGTAGGAAAAGGAAAAGCATGTGAGCAGTGGCTCAGGAGCAAAACCACAGAAAAACTGTTCACAATTGTAGCAATGTGTGTAACATGCTGTGGCTAATTATGGCTAACTGATGAGATGCTAGGGCACATCTAAGTTATGCAATCAGGCATATGACAAGCCACATGACTGAGATATACCCCACCATCTCATCCATGAATCATAATTAGCTAAAGTAAGGTACAACAGATCTTACGTGAACACCAAAAGGATTCTGGCCATTTCTTTTTCTTTTGTACTGTAATTCTCAGAATCCCTCAGATTACATGGCTATGATTCTTTCAAATGTTGCACTGGAGCCAGGAGATTTAGTCCACTCAGTTGGAAGCTACACTGCAGGTGCGCATCTTGAGAAGCCTCGTAGCACAGCAGTTAAATTGCAGCACTGCAATCAAGACCCACATTTGATCCTGACAGGCTCAGATAGCTGGCTCAAGGTTGACTCAGCATTCCATCCTTCCAAAGTTGGTACAGTGTCCAGCTTTCAGGGAGGGGGCAATGTATAGCTTGCATAATTAAACTACAAACTACCAGGAAAGTGCTTCAAGTGCTGTGGGGTGGTATATAAACAGCACACTTTGCTTTACATCTTAGACATTAGTCTGAGGGGTTGAATAGCTCCCCTCCTGGTTTTTACACCACTTGAGTTGTTTCTGCCCTTGGTCAAGACCCTAAACTTGCCCACAGAACCCTTCCAAAAATGAAGAATTATTTTTAGGACCTTTCCTTTTAGATAAATAAAACTTCCTAAATAGTATACCTAGAAGGTGCAGAGCCTGTGTGCAATACTGTCTTCCCTGTAGTGTCCATCCTTTGAATGACCAAATGATCTAAAACCATCTTCTTTTTAGCTCTTTCCAGGATATCTTCTTCTACTGATCCCTTAGTGACCAGTCGATAAATATTAACCTAAAAACAAGCAAAGGTTTCAAGAAACCTTTATTGGCATGCTGCATGTTCCTAAAAACAAGCAAAGGTTTCAAAGAAATAGAAATTAGCATGTCATTATATTTAGAAGTGTATTAGATTGAAATGGTGTTGTGTTTTTATTCCTCTAAATAACACAACTTGCACTGATTATGTGTTATGCAGTCCAAGGAACCTTATGCCAAATAAAACATGTGAGCCTTTACGGTGAAACAAGACTCTTTGTTATCTGTAACATAACATGGATCAATTGAGTAACAGGCCTTTAACGTTTTTAAATGAATAACATGACATGGCGCAAAGATTGCAAGTTTACAGTGAAAACAACACCAGAGCTCGCCTGTCCAAATACAAGGTAGCCATGACAACCCAGATTAATCAAGTAAAAATGACACAGGAGATAGTTATCTGTCAACTCCTGGAGTGCCCTTCCACTACATTCAGCCTACATTTTGAGATAGAAAACATTGGCTACAGAGAATGACGCAAGGGCCAACACAGTGCCTGGCAGAATTTAAACAGTAATATTTTTCTGCCACTTTGTTGGTGGTACTACAGAGGGTTTTTTCCCCCATGAGAGAATATTGCTTTTGCTGATATACACTGATATACATTTTTTGTTTAGGTTAGCCTGTTTCTCTTGGGAACTAGCCATATTACTTGTGAATAAGAATCTTCATACAAGTATCTCTGACTTTCTGGTATAAACCATTCAAGTACCTAAACCAAAAACCTCATACAGATAAAGACAACTGAGTACATGCATCTGTAAGAGACCACCTATACATTCCAACTATATCACCAATGAAAAAAATGAGAACATAATAGGAAACAATTAACTAACAATTATGCTGCTGAGAGTAGAAAGGCAGGCTATAAATATTTTAAATTAATACATACAGGAAAACAAACATTTAAATGGACACCAAGACAATCCTAAGAAGCTATTTAAAGTCAATGCCAACTTAGCAAATATAATGCCTTATACATAGTTAGAACTGCCTTGTTATACCACATGCATAAGTAAAAAAAAAGGTCCATACAGAATTGTAATAAAGCAGACTGATCCTGTTTTGGCCTAATTCAGCTACTAAATTAGGAGTACAGGTTTAAAATATATACCTGCTTCTTTTGTCCAATCCTATGTGCTCTAGCTTGTGCCTGAAGGTCATTTTGAGGGTTCCAGTCAGAATCAAATATAACTACAGTATCAGCAGATGCCAAATTTATACCCAGGCCTCCAGCTCTGGTAGAGAGCAAAAAGCAAAAGTCCTAAAATTAAGCGAGAGGAACAGATTAAATAAAAAACTGTAGCACACACCTAACCAAAAATTAGTAGTGAGTTCTGCCAAATAATGCATATATTAACTTGAATTTAAACTACTTAAACATGAAAACAAACATTATAAACTTGCTCTCTAAAATGTACACCATCGAAACACATTAGACTGGAACCAAAAATTAGCCTTGCTTAGAGTAAACCCACTATAGAGATTTAATTTATTATGACTAACTTAGGTTCCACTGTACTACACTCTAAGCCTAGCTTAAGTCTGAATCCAAACATCCCAATGCCACAAAAGTCTTACATTCAAGTTAATATTTTACTCTAAGTGACATGGTTCAGGAGAAGGTAACTGAAGAATCTAAGAGACAGAGCAAAACATACAAAGAAAGGTGCTGAATACAAGAGCTCTCTCGTACAAAAGGGCAGGGAAAAGACTAATGCAAGACCTAGTAGCACCAACTTCAGTGATGAAAAAACATATAACCAAGGCTTTCCTTGGCAGTAGGGGAAGTTACTCCATTACTGGATGCCTTCTCACACTAAGTATCTTTCCATTACTAGAAACACAGGAAGTTTCCTAAAAGGTGAACAAAGTCCTAACAAGCAAATGAACAGGCTACCTCAGAACCTTCTGCATTGAAATGATCCAGTGCTTGCTTCCGCAGTTCGCCTTTTATTGATCCATCTAGTCTCTGGGGGCAAAAAACAATTTGATGAAGAATATTCATGTGTCAATATCTAAAACAATGTACTGTATGTGCAGACACACAGTTTAAGAATAAAGTTCTTACTTGAAAGGGAAACTGACGATATTTCAAATATTCAGCCAAGATGTCCAGCATCCGCACCATCTGAGAGAATATAAGCACTCTGCTGCCACGCTCTCGTAAGCGAATCAGCAGCTTGTCTAAAAGAATTAGCTTCCCACTACTTCGGATTAAATTCTTTAAAGGAAAAACAAGAAATTTTTTAAACAACCAGTTAGAAGGAAGAAGAAACAGATTATAATGTTCATGGTCCAAAGTTTGGAACCACGAATAAAACACTGAATAAAGTAAAGAAAAAATATGTTTCTTTCCAGACAAAAAATGTAGACTACTGTATACCATCCAATTAACCAGCCAAACAACAGCAAATTTCCTTATCAGGATAGTATCCTGGAAAGAGGGCTACAAGACAAACCAAGTACCAAATGGTTATCCATTTGCACACAGTTTCCTCCACTGGCCCCAGTATTATCTGGTTCCCCAAAAAGCATTTCTAAAAGACTAGATGTCTCTTTGGTTTTTGTTCCTTCCTACTAGTGAGTGGGAAAGATATAGGGACCACTGTGTTTAACAACCTCGCCTTTGATAAAGGTGAGTTAAATAAAGTAAGTTTTAATTCATGTGGTTACAGAGCAAAAGTCTGAAATTTTTTTGACAGTATCTCTTGAAGATTCAGAAAGTGAATGAATGTTGTACAGCTTCAAGTGGTGAGAAGGAACAGCTGTATCATTTGAATCTAGATGTCCCCTCCCCATGTTACTTGTCTCTCCTTCTTCCTCCTACATTGACTTCCAGCATTTAGCCAGTATTTGTGTATTATGCAGACATAAATATTGACTCCAAAGTTAAAACCAGTTAAATAAAATCACTCAATTTCATCTGTTTTACTCCCAGTAAGGAGTTTGGTGTGGCTGGCTCAAGTTTGCATCTTGTATAGATGGCTCAGTATTAAATGTTTTGTTTTTGAAGGAAACATGATCAGCCTTGGAAAAAAAGGAATCTAATGCTTTTCGCTTGGTTGCCATCCAGTGTCAGGAATATGATAACCATTGAAAAGGAGAAAGTGAAAAAATGAATTTGTTTTACTCAACACTTGAAATGCTGACACTCATTCCTGCGGTCAGAATGCTATGATTTAAAACTATGCAACAGAATCACATGATTGCTAATGAAGGGACAAAGAGTGCTGGAAATGTCACTGAAAGACAGTCTATAACACTTCCAAATAAACACCTTTGCAGTTAAACTACCTTTAGTTGAAAGCACATCTTAAGTCACAGGTAGCACACAATACATCACAGTAAAATACAGCCTAAATCTATCATAACAATAGTAATTTAATAGATATACGAAATCTTACTTGTAAGGCCTCCTGTTTATTATAGAATTCATTATCATCTGGTGGTTTAATGAGGTAGCAATGATTACAACACTTTTTGAGCTCCATCATAATATTCAGAAAGCCTGAGGTACTGCCCTTTGAACCTTTACTGAGGGCTTTGTAATTCCTGGTTAAAATCCACCTATGATACAAAAACATCTACTGTCAACATTGTAACAATGAAAAAGTAATGAATGGAAAATAAGGACAAGAATCAGATAAGCGGGTGAGTTTACTGCATGACAGAAATATGTGAATTTTTCAGCTGATACTGTTTAAGTTTTTCTCAAACTACTTACTTGTAATATTGCTTTTGCAATGCACTCATCTCCATTCTTAGAATCTGCTCAACCTTAGCAGGCAGAGATTTCTCTACATCTTTCTTAACTCTCCTCAAAAGAAATGGTTCAAGTTCTTTATGAAGACTTGCATAGCCAAATTCCCTTCCTTTCCCGTGTTCCTCTTCAAAATCTTCCCAAGAAGAAAACCTTCAGTGTAAAACATGAAATCCTGAGTCATAACAGATTTGTAAAAATAGATGCAGAAGTGACTGAAAATTTTACTTTAGTATTATACATTATTTTGGGATCTAAAAGCAAAGATAAAAGGGATAAGCCAGACTTCAGGAAAAACAAGCACATCATTATATGGGGGGGGCAGTCTTGTGGAGGCACTCATTTCATTATCAATTCTTATCAGAAGGTCAGCTTTATAGCATAATCAACAAAGGCACAGCTTTGTCACCACAAAAGTACCTGAATTTGACAACTATTGGTTTGTTTTCAGCTGTTGCTGCCTTAGACTGGATTTTTAATTAAGACCAATTATTTGTTTCCTTTATAATCTTGTCCACTTACTACCTATGTAAACCTGTTTCATGTATCAATGGACAGAAAAGCAGGTTAAAAATATGAAGTTGAATGAAGTTATGTTCAATATTTCTTTCTTAATTCAAAAAAACAAAAAAACAAAACAAAAAAACAGAACACTGAGTTGAAAGAAGTCAACAACAAATTAAATTCTGTATGGCAGCTTTCTAGCAAAAGCTATATGCAGCTCTCCCAAATTTTAATACAGCAAATATATATGGTACATCCTTACAACTTGCAGAATAAAATAATGAACTCATCCATAAGTTACAGTGAAGTTTACAGGTAATTTTCTAAGCAAAAAAAAAAAGAATGTAAGTAAGAGGCAACATGGTAGAGGTGTATCAAACTGAATGGCATGGAGAGAAAGGACATGGATGGATTTTTCTCCTTCATACGACAAAAATCCAGTTCCATTCAATAAAGTTGAGTAGTAAGATGACAGACAGATATAAGTATCTCTTCACATAGCATGTAGTTAGTAACAATAATACTAATCTTAGAAATGCAGAACTGGAAAGTACCTTTGGGATCACTGAGTCTAGCCTATCAAGGAAGGACAGTAGGGAAATGAACTCCTAATTTCTGGCTCCACAGCCAGATGCCTAAACCACTTAGTTATCCAATACTTAAAACTATGGATTTTGCATAGAACTGCGGAATCTGAAGGCTTTCAACTTTTTTTTTTTTAAGAAAGGGCTAGGCAGAATATATGGAGGCGGTGACAGATTCTACCTTCTTGGGCTCCGTGATCACTGCAGCCACGAAATTAAAAGAAGGCCACTTCTTGGGAGGAAAGCAATGACAAACCTAGACAGCATCTTAAAAAGCAGAGATATTGCCATGCTGACAAAGGTCTGCATAGTCAAAGCTATGGTTTTTCCAGTAGTGATGTATGGAAGTGAGAGCTGGACCATAAAGAAGGCTGACTGCCGAAGAACTGATGCTTTTGAATTGTGGTTCTGGAGGAGACTCTTGAGAATCCCCTGGACTGCAAGGATATCAAACCTATCCATTCTGAAGGAAATTCTGAGTGCTCACTGGAAGGACAAATCCTGAAGCTGAGGCTCCAATAGTTTGGCTATCTCATGAGAAGAGCAGACTCCCTGGAAAAGACTCTGATGTTGGGAAAAAGGGAAGGCAAGAGGAGAAGGGGATGACAGAGGACAAGATGGTTGGACAGTGTCATATAAGCTACTAACATGAATTCGACTAAACTCTGGGAGACAGTGGAAGACAGGAGGGCCTGGCATGCTCTGGTCCATGGGGTCACGAAGAGTCGGAACACAACTTAATGACTAAACAACAATATACAAATGGAAGACTAGGCCATCAATGGTTATTATAGCTATATATGACCTGCAGTATCAAAAGCAACATGCTTCTCAATATCAGGTGCTGGATAACATGACCAGAAAGGTGCTATTGTGTTTATCTCCTGTTAGTGGGCACTTGGTTGGCCACTGTATGAACAAAATGCTAAACCGGATTGGCCTTTGAGTCTGATCCAGCAGACTTCTATTCACATTCTTACCCTACAGAGTGTTGCATTAAATAGCTTTTTTTTAAAAAAAGTCTCCAAAAATAGCTTCTAAGGTCCCTTCTAACTTTTAAATTCTATGATAGTGGAAATTTTATTGAAAATATCAGCTCCATAGTGGGTTGACTTCCAAGCTGCACCCTTTAAAATAGCTTATTTTCTTTGACATCAACATTAGAAATATCAAGCACTGATGTCCTCTTCCTTTCCCCACATTACTATTAGAAACAAGTTTACTGAAAGTAATACAGGTGACATTTTCAATATATATGTAACAAAAACATGTATCATTGTCTAGAAAATTTTATATATTAGCCCATTCAAGCAACAGGAAGTCACCAGCTTTAGAATTCTGAAAGTTTAAAATCTATATCCATCAATGTTCAATGTCCCAGATTGTCTGTGGTAGCAGAGATACCATCTATAGACAAGGCCATTTATACTATGACTATAGGAGATGAACTTACTTTTCTGGCATAATGAAGTGCAGCAGAGACCAGAGCTCTTTCAGAGAATTTTGAAGTGGTGTTCCAGTGATAAGAAGGCGATGATTGGATCTGAAGTCTATTAAGGTCTTGTACAGGAGGGAGTCATCATTTTTTAATCGATGGGCTTCATCCACTCCTATAAATGCCCAGTTCAGACCACCAAGGAATGACTTTTCAAAAGAACATAAAATTAATGCTATTCTACTAGAAAGACAAGGTATTTCATGTGCCAGTTAAAATAAATCACATTTCAGTAAAATTAACATGGGGAAAACAAGTGTACTGATGGGAAGGAGATTCAGAAAAAAACATTTTATCCAAAGCCCTGCAAGCTCATACTGGGTAGTTGGGAGGGAGGAAAGTAGTGGGGTCTTTTCTGGCATTTTCCAGTTTTCCTTCTATGTTTTTATAATTCCTCCCCCCTCCTCACCCTGAACACACACATGTGCAATAGGGAAGAAATTAATAGATATATCCACGGTTGGAATGTATTTCCTCTGATACTTGGAAGATGTAAGGGTAACTGGAAGACTATGGATTCACTATATCCAAGTATTTCTTTCCCTGCTGCCCCATTTTGTTTCTATCATTTTGCTTGCTCCAGCATCAGAGAACCAAGGGCTGAGGTGGTTTCCATGGTGACTGGGAAGTGATCTGAAAGGTTGGTTCTCCTATACAGTGGAACCTCGACTTATGAACAGCTCAGTTCGCAAAAATTTGCATCGACTTGTGAACGGAGCCTCGATCTATGAACAACAACAACATAAAAAAAGGCAGGGGAAAAGGGTGGGAAATTCAAAATTCCCCTGCCTTTTTTTCCATTCAAACTGCTGGTGGTGAAGAGGCTGGTCTTTTGCCCCAACGGTTATGAATAGGGATCCCCAGGAGGTCTCCAATGGCGGCAGAAAGGGCCAGGAAATTTAAAATTACTCCCCCGCCGCCGCGATGGGACCCCCAGGAGGCCTCCGGAGACCTCCGAAGGCGCCGATCATGGTGGACCCCCAGGAGGTCTCCGATGGCGGCGGGGAAGCCCTGGGAGATCTCCCGTGGGTCCCCCACTGCTGCCATCAGAGGAAGCGGTCACCCAGCGCCGGGATGCTTTAGCTAGCCGGCTTTGCCCTCCACCATTTGAATTTGCCACCATGGGCCCACGGAGGGTGTCAGGGAGCAAGTGGGAGGCAAGCCAGGAGGCAAGTGGCTGAAACCTGGCCAGCTCAAGACTCCCAGCACTGGGCGACTGCTGCCTCTGCTGCAGCTGGGGGCAAGCAGCCGAAGCACCCCGGCTCAAGCCTCACAGCAACAGCGATTGCAGCGGCAGGGGACCCCCCAGGAGGCTTCAGACCAGTAAGTGCTGCTTTTTTTCTTTTAAAAAAGTTGGTCTGGGTGGATTTTGGAGGGTAGGTTTGGGCTGGGGGGGTATGTCTCTGTGTTGTTTTGTTTTTTGGTGATTGTTTTGCAGTCCCAGTGTGGGACTTGCAGTGTTTTATTTTTAAGTTTTTGTATTTTTTTTTCTTCCCCCGAAATGCATTAATCAGTTTTCAATGCATTCCTATGGGAATGGTGCCTCGACCTATGAACCTTTTGACTTGCGAACACCGTTCCAATACGTATTAAGTTCGTAAGTCGAGGTACCACTGTACAAAGTTTAGATCTCTGCCTTAGAGTGTGGGCATATCTGAAATATTCTACGGGCCCTGAGATGCCCTCCTAGGGAATATACAATCGCAGGCTTAATGTATCATTTTCTACCTCCTTCCACAAAACTGCAAGTACTTAAGATGTACTGAAATCTGAAGTTTTCCTCCTAAAATCTGAAATCCAGTATGGAAATGGGATCCACTAACCTTCTGCAGCTCCCCAATCACCTCAACAATCTCCTTAGACAACTGGAAAACTCTCTAGAACTGGAGTTTGGCCAACTATGAAAACTGCAGGGGGGAATGGGTGAAAATCCTGACACTACCACTAGCATTACATTGGAGCTATGTACTGATATTTTCAGCAAAAACGTCCACATTTTCTTTGTTTTATCCAAGTAAGAAATTCTGACAGACACAAGTAGCTTCTTCAACCCTGTGCTCAGTTTTTATAGACAGATGATGGTCCAGTTACTTACCTTATCCTTTAACAAAATTTCATAAGTTGTCAGTAAGATGTTAAATTTTAATCGTTTGGTCTGCGGATGCATCCATTCGTGTGTTCTAATCTACAAGGATATCAAAAAAGATTAGGTTATGGTGTTTAAAGTATTTCATAAAAGAATTTAAAATACCTGATCCTGTCAATGTTTACCATTTAACATTATCATGTGTAGGTGCATGAAAGACATTAAGGTTGCTACATGCTAGGTATCAATCAATGAGGGGGTGGGTTAGGATTGTAGGAAAAAACATGCTAAAAAGCATCATCCTTCATGTGCCCTTTGGAGGCTGTTAAAATTGAAGCTCTCATAATCATGACACAGGCCAAGCACTGAAATCTGAAATATTTGCTGCCACTAGGTTTTGCATGGCATGTAGCATGGTGGTACCACTTTGTATTTTAAAATCCATTTCATTAGTGAATTCAACTATACCAGACAAAAACAAAACAAACAAAAAACAAACAAACAAACAAAAAAACCAAAAAAACAAGTGACCAAAACATTGTGGGACTTTCAAGGCTAATGACTATATTTTAATGTGTACATTTGTGAATCAAGTCTACTTCCTAAAACTTCAACTACTATCTGTAAAAATCACTGTAACTACACTTAACTAAAGATTATGCTTAAGGCCACACTAAAATTCTTGAAAAGTTAACTATTTCAAAGTTGATCATATATATATCTCCCATGGGAAAGTACTATATTAATATAAAAACATGACGTATTATTTTCAACCTTTTCAGGCACACTCAAATCCATACTCCTGTCTCCTTAAATCAAGTAATAGTCTACATGTTATTAATTTATAAAGCAAATAAGAACTTAAAGTAAAAGTAGATATTAACAACAGACTTCATAAAATGGATTAAGAAATATCCTGAATTTCTGTACAGTGGTGCCTCGACTTACAAACGTCCCTACTTACAACCATTTTGAGTTATGACCAGCTCAGGCTGCAAAATTTTGCTTTGACTTGCAGCCGGAGCCTCTAGAAGCCGGAGCTTCTAGAAAAAAGGCAGGGAAAAAAGGCGGGAAATTCAAATTTGTAACTGTAGGTGGTAACGAGGCTGCTTCTTTGTAGCTCTTTACCCCAGCAGTTAGAGTGTGCAATCAGAGAAGGCTGCCTGGTAAGGTAAGGTGTTATTTTCTGCTTTAAAAAAACTGTTCTGGGTGTTTTTTCACTGTGGTTTTGGGCTGGAGGGGTTATGTTTCTGTGCTGTGATGGGTCTTGGGGGGTTTGTTTGTTTTTCCCTCCATTTCCGATGGGTCTTGGGGGCGGGTTGTTGCTTTTTGGAGTGTTTTTCCCCCCATTTCCGATGGGTCTTGGGGGATTGTTTATTGGTTGGTTTCCCCCACCCCCATTTCTGATGGGTCTTGAGGGGTTTGGTTGCTTTTTAGAGTGTTTTTTGCCCATTTCCGGTGGATCTTGGGGGGTTGTTTTTTGGTTTCCCCTCATTTCCGATGGGTCTGGGGGGGTTGGTTGCCTTTTGGGGTTTTCTCCCCATTTCCGATGGGTCTTACATGCTCCCCTTGCTTTTTCCTTTGTTCTCTTCGCATTTCTGAACTGCCCCTTTGTTCTCTGTGTATTTCCGATCTGCTCCGTTTGTTTTCTGTGCGTTTCCGACCTGGTCCTTTTGCTTTCTATGCATTCCTGAACTGCTCCCTTTGTTCTCTGTGCGTTTCCGACCTGGTCCCTTTGTTCTCTGTGAATTTCCAATCTGCTCCGTTTGTTTTCTGTACATTTCTGATGGGTCTTGCATGCTTGATTGCTTTTCTCTCTCCCCCCCCCTTCGGCTGGAAGGGATTAATTGCATTCCCATGCATTCCTATGGGAAATGGTGCTTCAACTTACGATCATTTTGACTTACACCCATCTTCCGGAACCAATTAAGTTCGTAAGTCGAGGCACCACTGTACTAGAATCTAGCAAGACATTATTCTCTAGTCCTTTGATGCACAAAAACGTACAGACATACTCACCACATTTCTGCTAGTAATGTCTCCCAAATAAACTACAGCATTCATTTGGGGAGCCCATGTCTGGATTTCTCTTTGCCAAGATGTCAAAGTTGAAAGTGGCACTACTAGCAAGAAAGGCCCATACAACTGATGCTCATGGAACAAGTAATTTAGAAAGGAGATTGTTTGTATTGTTTTACCCAATCCCATTTCATCTGCAAGAATACAACTGTTCCCCCTGTAAAGTGAAATTAATAAAACTCATGTTTATCCTAGACTGAAGTACCACATATACAAACATCAGGCAATATAACATTCAGTTGACTGCAAGTCATACCATCAAATTTTGGCACGCTTACAATTTAGGCAACAATGCTTATTCATACTATAGGCAGCACATACGTAAGAAAATATAATGGACAAAATCCTGTTGCTTAGTGTAGTAAATTGCAGAGCCCGCCCATTGAATCAATAAGGATTTAGTGAGTCAACTCCTTTGTATGTTCCATTGATTCAAATAGGTCTACTCTAACTATGACAGAGTAAGTTGCAGTTCAAGTTAGGTTCATTTGCATCAATGGAACTGATGGAAGAGATGACTCACCAAATCACCATTGATTCAATAGGCCTACTCTTGAGCAATTTATTATGCTAAGCAACAGGACTTGAACCAATAAATTCGATTTTAGCACAATGAATTATGCAACAAAAGCAAAGTGTTTTTGTTGCTTATATATTGCGTCACAGCGTTTAAAGCACTCTCTGGGTGGTTTACACGTTTATTATGAAGGCTACACATGCTCCCACTCCCCAAGCAAGCTCGGTGCTTATTTCCTTGACCTCAGAAGGACAAAAAGCTGAGTGAACCTTGAACCAGCTACCTGGGATTGAACCCCAGGTTGTGAGCACAGTTTTGGCTGCAGTACAGCAGTTCAACCACTGTGCCACGAATAGTACCACATCTATAAAGATAACTGCTTAGGAATTACAAAATAGAAGAGTACAGTGGACCCTGGACTTACGAAGGTCTCTACTTATGGAAATTTCAAGGTACGAAAGGCTCCAGCTGCAGAATTTTAGTTTGACTTGCGGCCAGAGCTTCAATCTACAAAAGGCAGGGGGAAAGGGGGGGGAATTCAAAGCAGCCCCTGCTGCCCTTTTCTCCTGACAGGAGGCAAGAGGGCAGTGGGGGCTGCTTTGAATTTCCCCCCTTTCCACGCCCGCTGCCTACTTTGCAAGGCGAAAGCCGCTCCACGCCCACTGCCGGCTTTTGGGGCTTAGAAAGCTGCACCCACTTCCCTCTTGTCTCCTGTCCCCGGTGCCCTCTGCCTCCTGTCCCTGTGGGGATGGGAGGCAGAGGACAGTGGGGACAGAAGGCAGAGGGCAGCAGGTGCAGCTTTGGAAGCCCGGAATTTTTTTTCTTTTGGCTGGAATGGATTAATTGGTTTTCGATACATTCCTATGGGAAATGGACCCTCGACCTACGGAATTTTCAGCCTGCGGCCACAGTTCCAATACGGATTAATTCCGTAAGTTGAGGGTCCACTGTATTAGTGTTGTCCTTCAGATGAGACTATATGCAGAACTTGGAACCAAATCAGATGCTTTGGAAGGTGTCCAATCAAAGTCGAACTCCTTCAACTTTGCAAATTTTGCTCCTGAAAATGTATTTGGAATTTAGATTTGGAAATGCAGATAGTATTTTCAAAAAATGATATTGGGATAGAGGAGTGGATAGTTTTTACTCATAATTTTATTTCCAACCACAGTGAATAGTTTTACAAAGACTCTCCAATTCTATTGCAGGCAAGGGCAGAATACCCCGGAATGACTCAGCACTCAGGCTTTTGACTAGTTCCCTCTCTTGCAGTAGGAATGGTGACAGGATTTCTGGTAGAGTCTATGGGACCTAAAAGGGTGTAGTCCTGGGCAGCTTGGTTAGAACAACTCATCCTGCCTCTATCTCTTCCACATCCATCCTTCATATATGTATGTACTGCTCTACGATCTGCAGCTTTAGTGCCTGATGAAAAGAGAACAGTGATGTCTTATATTTCATTCACCATAATTCCCCAGCCCAACCCCCCAAAACACCTCACTGTTTCTCAACTACGAACATCTCTGTACCATAACTAAGCAAGGTGAAATGGGGCAAATCAAATCTTCCATTTCAAAACTAGTCTTCTAATCCAAACCTTTACTGTCTCTTCTAAAAATTTTCATGTTCATTAAACGAGCACCCTTCCAATCATCTTCATCACAATTACTCATAAAACACTTACAGTGAGGCTTCTTTTTCTTTGTGAGAAATGAAAGAACTACAAAAGCTATTCTTGCACAACGTTCCCAGTGTGTATTCTTTTGAACATTTTCTGGCTTTCTCTTTTCAAGAGGCAAGTATCCCTGAAAATTTCACCCATACACTTTGCCAATGACTGAAGAGTTACCAATTCCTCCTTTTGAGGACAACCCGCCACTTAGTTGTCTGAAATCCAGCAGGCATAATCCCTTCTTCAAGGAGGAAACAGAACAGCTGAACTTGTCATCAATATCTTAATGTGTATTACTATGGCTCTTGTATGTTTGTAAAATACACAATTATGTTTGTAAAATATTAACAAACAAAACAAACATCCAAATGTAACATTTCATTACATACTTACTTGCACCAAGAATGAGCCAGCCAGTTTAGTCCATTTAGCTGATAATCTCTGAGTTCCAATCCTTCATGGCCTCCAATATAAGATGGCTGTTTCTTTAGGGCCACAAATCTTGGCCTTTGTTTTAAAACCTGACAAAAATGGGGGAGGGGGAAAATATTAGCTCCAGTGCTTATTGTGATTTCAATAAGATGTAGAAACTAGAAAGCTTTAAACTTCTTCAGGTCTATGGCTCAGCTTGCATTAGGGAGACAAATTGTTCTTTGAGATGCGTTCTTTAAAAAGACATTTTAATAAAACAAGGACCCACTCCACATGCTAGAAAAACATTATAGGTTTGATACATAATATTGCTTTAATTGATTGTTTGAAGTAAGCATCTATCACAAAAATGTAAGTTTACCTACCTTACAGTCCTTAAAAGGAGTAGTCTTGGACTGGTTTCTACTAAAATATTCATCGATGCGTGACTGGAATTTTTTTGCTATGAGAGCACCATCTTCCCAGCTGCACTCTGAGTAAGGGAGACCCTGCCATTTACAATAATAATCTGGATAACCTGCTGCTGACTTCTGATTAGAATGGGCTATAGAAAACATTTTAAAATATGAAATCAGTATATCACTCTTTTTTGTCCAGATAAACAAACAGGTTCAGACAAAAGATTTATGTTTAACAACATATACATAACTCTGTTAATTACAGCCATTCATTAATTTATTAGAAGTTTTAGAAGAATATGTTATTAATAAAAGTGCTAACAACCGCAAATTGCTCCCACCTACATAATGTTGATGAACAAAGTAGCCTCAGTCCAATATGCTGGGGTTTCAGCATGCCACATGTGACAGAACTTCCTTCCCTCTCCTTCACACTGCAGTTTACACTGGGCAAAATCCAGTTAGGGAGGTTCACTCAGCTTTCCAGAAATACTTTTGGGGGATTCATGGGACACTGCAGTCAGCAAAGAGTAACTGCCCCTCCTATTTTTGCTCTTATTCCACTGCTATGCCAGCAAAACTCTAGCAATGGACACCATGCAATACACACATTATGCAATAATAGTAACATCAAATCCTATCACCTACCAATTATTCGTTCTACTATTTGATACTGTTTATGTAAATCATCTGTCAATTCTTGCTGGCAATTGTAATACTCCACATCTTCTGGAGAGGCATTTTTTAACCTGTAAAGAAGTTACATGCAACTTTAATAACACAGTTGTAGAACATATACCATTTGCCACCGTTGTAGCATTTTATAGAGATTATAAAACTGTTTAGAAAAATTCTGTGTGGGTGGAGTCAGAATCCCTCAAGAGTATATTCACTCAATTTGCAATTTTTACCTGCCAGAATTCAAAGGGCAGCATTTATACTAGAGATCTTTGGCAGTCACTCCATCAGCCAAAAAGGTGCTCTTTAAATTTAGAGAAGGACTCAATGCCAAATATTTATTTATTATATACTTAATTCATTCATACACTTCCTTCTGACACAGCAACTCAAGGCAATATGTAATATTAGATTTTGAAATAAGCAGACATCACTACAAAATGGAGCAAAGTTTTATCAGGCCAATTGAAAGTATATTGAGCTGATGGCATGAACTCCCTCTGCCTAGGTCTCATCTTCTGCATTCCCTCAGGGAAAAGTCTTATTCTGGCCTGTAGAGAGAGGGTGAAGAACTGCCCCAGTAAAAATTCAGGCCAACAGATGATACTTATACAAGCAGATGACACAAGCCACCTGTACTACAGTTCTTTACGTCTGTCTTTCTCCAAGACACAAGGATTTTAGGTAGCTGCAGGGAAGGAACAAGTGAAATTTGCCAATTATTTCCAGTGCTAGATCTGTATCCTATACTGATTCTGACTGCAAATACACTGGGTCAAATAATTCCCCACTCCAGTTCTAAGATTATTATGTCCACTAAGCATCCCCTGCTCAATTATGCATGCTGGAGATGACTTTATAATGTATTCGTTACACAGACATACGGTTTATAATCTCCTTCTCAATAACAAACTAATTGCCTTGATTTTAATGTTTAGCTAAACTGGGCTAACATAAAATTATCATATACTGTACTAAGCAGAAAGCAAGCCAAAAACATTTTAATTAATTAATTAAAAATATTTTTACCCCACCTTTCTCCTTAAAAAAGGACACAAGGCTCTTAAGACTCTGTTCTATTTTTCATAATACTATACATTAATACATAATACTATACAGATTTGATCTGTCCCTTTTTTTGGGCCACACAAAATTACAAATAGCAAATAATAGATCCCTCATAATCTACCACACAGCTTTCACAACCACAACATTGTAGATCTTCAGTGGAACCCTATACATGCCTGTTTTGAAATAAGTCCAAATAAGTTCAGTAATGTTTACTTCCTGATGAACTGCACCGTAAACTAATCTATAAATCATTAATCTAATGCCTTATGATACATCATGCATTGAAACATGGCTACAAAGGGCATTGGTTTACATTTATTTATTTATTTATTTGATTTCTATCCCGCCTATCTGGTCTTATTCGACCACTCTAGGCGGCTTACAATTCCACAATAGTTTTTAAAAACATTACATTACAAGTTAACAAAGGCAAAGATCAAAGGAATATAAGAAGAAAAAAACCCTACTAATCCAATCCAAGATGGCAGCTAGATTCTAATATCCCTATATAAAACTGCAACATTTTTGTCTTAAATGTGTACTTAGAGTCACTATCAGATACACTTTGAAGAAATGCATCAGAATCTGGCAGAAGTCTGGATCTACCCACATAACTATGCTGTAGAAGTAGCTTTATATACCAGAGCAGATTAACCCATACATGTCCATTTGAATAGTCCACATATTCAAATATATATGAAATTATCACATAAAAATAGTTGATGAAAGCAATAATTAGATAGCTTTCTATCATAATCATTTCAAAAGTAAAGAAACTATTTACAGATGATAGACCGCTACTCTGTGCAAGGAAAGAACAAATTGCTATTTCTTCCTAAATTCACTTTATACTTAGTTGGCATTTTAAATGTTACATCTTGAAATAATATCTTGTGTGATACTCACCAGCCAAAGAAACAATAAAACATCAAAAGTTGGACTTTGAACTGTATCTGCCCTATCTGAACATTTTGCAGTTACATTCTCACATGAATTAAAACATATGCCAAATAGATACTTCAATAATGCATACAGCATAAACAGAGCTTGAATAATGCATTAGATTTCATGTTACATGCAAAATAGTCAATTTTGCCTTTTTTTAAACTGATGCATCAGTCTGCTTTTTTATTTAACACAAAAATAATTGTTTTGATGTTAATGCATTAAATCTAACACATTGTCTGAAATCCTGTTGCTTTGATATACATGAAGAAGGAAATTGTGCACCATTCAAGACAACAATTAATGAGTTGCTGCCGGAATTCTTTGGGGTGCATGTGCCCAATGGCTCAATGTTTGAGAATCCCAGCAAGAAAACATTGCCAGCTGAAAAGCACTGAAACTTAAGCCATTTGCCTTTCATATGTTTAACAAAGCAATAGGATTTCAGCAGTGTTTCCAAGCTCTGCTTACAACAGAATGTTATACTGGATTGCAGAAAAAACTCACCATCGTTTAGTTTCTTGATCCTTCTTCTTATAATTGTCAAGTTTTTTCATTCCTCTAACATTCTGCTGTTTCAGAGTTTCTTCTGTTTCCCAAGTGTTATGGATATGGGACCAACCTTTCCATTTAATCAAATATTGCACATCACCAGGTTCTTTTGATTTATCATAACCTGCATTTGGATCGCCATCAGCTTCAACGGCATAGATGGTGGTTGTAGCACCAGTGGCTGAAGAGAGCATAACCGCAAGATTAAACATTAAACAATTACTAAATAATTTTGACAAAGTATTCAGAACCAACTTATAGCAACTCTAATAGGGCTTTCAAGGTAAGTGAGATATTGATGGAGTGGTTTTACCAGTTCCACTTCCCTGGTTAGTTTCTATGGCCAAGTGGGAATTTCTACCCAGGCACCAGAGTACATGTCCGTCATTCTATCTACTAGACCAGACCACACTGGGTACCATGAAGTAGCCTATAATATTGCTATGAAATAAAAACATCTAGAAAAAGTACATGACGCACAACAGTGTCAGTACAGCTTTGTGCCATTCAAACCACACTACAAACTATATTATAATAAGAATTTAATTGAAACATATCTGATAGAACTATATCATCTAAATGGAGTAGGATAATAATATATGTACTAAACAATCACATTTAAATGCAGATTAAAATGCAGTTAAAAATAATAAAGTATCTGACTAATACAGTTCCTAAAGTGTGTCACTATTCAACATACAACATGCATTTTCCAAGGTATTTCATATAAATGCATTCATCACCCTGTTAGATTTTACAAATCTGAATGAGGAGTACCTCCTTTTCGTCCAATGCGGCTATCCATAAATTTTTCTATTGTTTCAAATTCATCTTCTTCAGGTTGCGGAACATCCTCTCCACAAACTTCCAGCAGATCATCTGAATCCGTCTTTGCCTCTTCTGCTTCCTTATAACTAACATTTACTGTTGCCTGGCGGCGAGATCCTCTTTTGTCATAGTCGTCGTCATCAGATGATGATGATGATGATTCAAGTTGCCTTTTTTTCTGCCCTGAAATTTTCTTCCTGCTTTTTTGCTTTATTCTTAAATAGTAAACAATTAAAAAAATATGTTTTGAAAAATGCTAATTAAAAATGCCCTGCAATAAATGAGAAGTGAATATGCTCAGGAAGCTATGGCTTGTGCATATATGTGGGTTTTCTTAAATTTACAGATCCAAACCTTGGAAGCTGCAAGAAACTATTTGGTGGCTGCTTCTAAGTATTAGGCAACATGAAGTCTTGCACTCTGTTCCTCGGTGCTTTGATCACATAGGGCAGTTTGATCTCATAACTTTGCACCACAGCCCATTCACTATGTAACTACTCTCCAGCTGATATGCCTGCTATCAATACGGTAGCCAGCACATTCCTCTTTCACTTGCTCTACAACCAGAACCCTACAAGAGAATCATTCTTCCTGATCAAAAGAGAAATCCCACATACCACCAATGCAAAAGGCACTGGGCTAAATAAGATGCTTTTTCTACCTAGAGAATTTCATTTAATGGGACTTATTAGTCATACTTTCGGTAGTAGCAGCATTATATATTTATTTTCTATTTGCTGTCTTTCTCCTTATAGGGGAGAAAGAGGACTCTGAACAGCTCACAATCATAATAAACACAATTAAAAACACACCGGCTGGAATTTTACTGATGGTTATATAAGGTCGGCAAAACTTGCTACATCTTAGTTGCAGAACTGAATGTGTGATGAGGCACATGACAAAGACACACCTTGATGCCCCATTAATTGGCTGCAATTAGCTGCAGCAAGTTATGCAAACTTTATGCAAACAGTAATATGATTTAGACCAGTAATATAATATTATAAAAATTAAACAACAAAATGAAAACTGCTATTTAAAAACACTTAAAAACATTATCGCCTCAATTCAGCATATACATAATCCCATAATGGGTCTTAGAAGGCAAACCTGGCATATTGGTTGGAGTGTAATCCAATGCCTGGCAGCAGATACTACAAAGGCCCTTTCTCATGTATTCACCAAAAAAGCCTATGAGGTGGGAACAAAAGAAGTGCCTCCCCAGCTAGGGGTTCATATGGATGACACAGTCCTTCAGGCAGTCTAGACCCAGGCCATATAGGGTTTTGAACTGAGACTGGAGAGACAACAGCAGCCAGTAAAGCTATTGCAATATGGGAGTCATATGCTACCTGCCATCAATGCTAGTCAGCAGTCTGGATGCAACATTTTAAACCTGATGAAACTGTCAAATACTCTTCATGGGGCAGCCCCACGTAGAACATACCACAGTAATCAAAGTGTGATGCAACTAAGTTATGGGTGGAGCTGATGCATTAACTTTACCTTTGTAAAGCAGTGGCTACTGCTGAATTCTGTGCATCCAGGGCCTGGGTTAAATTCAGGAGAATATCAAAGCTGTTGCCCTGACTTTTCAGAAGAAGTGTACCCTCACCCAGTACAGGCTGAGTATCTATTTCCTGATCTGCCTTTTGATTGAGCAAGAACACCTCTATCTTGTGTGGATTAAGTTTTAGTTTCTTTGCCTTCATCCTGTCCATTACTGACATCAGATGCTGGTCTAGACCCAGAATAGCTTCCTTGAAATTAGACAAAGTGATAGTGTTGGGTGACAACAAACCCCAACAGTCCAGATAAACTTTCTCAGTGGTTTCATGTCAATGATAAATGGGATGTGGAATACAACTGGGGACCAGCAGCTAGGGAGTCAAACAGCATAATCCCAGAACTCCGTTTCTGAATTCAGCCTCCCAAAAGGACTGACACTAACAGTGTCTCTAAGGGCCATCCTAAAGATACTCCAGAAGGACACAGGGTCAATAGTATCATAAACTACCAAGAGGTTCAGAAGAACCATCAGGGCCACACTCCAGTTCCTTCTATAGGTTATCCACCATCTAGAAGGCAACAAATATGGGAAATATTTTTTATTTTCTTTTAGATAAAAGTAAAAAAAATCATTCTAAAAAACATTTTTCATACCTGGTTGGAGGCTTCCTGCTCTTGACTTTGTTTTTTGGCTCATAGTCAGATTCACTCTCATCACCACTACTTTTCTCTCTACTTTCTTCCAAATCAGAATCTGAAGCAGTTCCAGACACAGATCCTGAGCCAGACATTTGCCAGTCTTCACTAATAAATTCAAACCACATAGAATATTTATATAAGTAAACGTAACTAAATACAAATTGAAATTACGTACTATTCAGATATATCGGTATTGTGTAAAAGAAGCAAAATAATTATCCTGATACATTTTAAAAATAGCAGCCATTATTGAAGATGGGGGGAAAAGGTAGAGGATGAAATTATCCAAATTCCGTTAGATAACTTAACTGAAATGAACCACTAGTTTTAAAACATATAGTATTCTAGCTGAGAGGCTAACTACACTGTATAGTCCACTTTAGAGATGGTTTGGTTCACTCCTAAAGATGGCAATCATATGATGGTCTTTGCTGGAGCTAACCAGTTCGCCTCCAGAGTGGTCCTACCTACACCTACCTTTCTGATCCATCAGGGGTTTTTGCCTTCATGGTGTGGGCAGAATTGCTCTGTTTTGGTCTGTTTCGAGCACATGCTGGAAAAAAACTAAAGTGAGCCTCCCTCTTTTAATGGGCCAATATCATGGAGAAACCCACTATACAAGTGACCTCAGGGACCGGTTTAGTTGAAGACCATTCTCCCAAGGACCGGGATGGGGGGGGGGGGTAACTTGTTATGCAGTAGGTTGTTGGGGAATAGCTTTGAATAAAGCTCATGAAAGAAATGGCGAGTAGGAGGTGAGCTACAATTGAAGCTCTGCCTCCTGTTAGATTAGCAGTATGCTTAGTGGGGGATTTTTAGTGGGTGGGGAGTGTTTGGAGATTTTTTATGTGTGCACACATGGGTCTGGTCTCTGGGTGTCTGTGTGAATTTCATTGTATGGATATACTATGTATATACTTACAATTACAATAAATGCATTTATTTATTCATTTATTTATTTATTAGCAGCTGCTTAGAACCTAATAGAGTGCAGTCTTATTAGATTCTAATGCCACAGACACAGCAGCAGGAGGAGGGGAACAGGAAGCAAAGCTCCGTCTCCTGTCAGATCAGCAGCGGAATTAGAACCTAATAGGAGCATGCTGACAGGAGGCGGAGCTTTGCCTGAGCTCACCTCCTGCTCGTTGCTCATCTGTCCCGGCAGCCCAGTCCTTCCAAGACCCACAAGGGCTGGGGACCCCTGCTCTACAATATTGGCAAATTAACACTTCCCTGGAGGAGCCAAAGAAGTAAAATAATAATATATTTTTTACTGTGTCGGAGCAGCAAAGATGTGCTGCGTCACTTTACAAACAGCATTAGGTATGTGTGTTACAAGTTAGGTTTACCTAATACACATATTGTACCTAACTTATAATGCACATATCTAATGCTGTTTTAAAAGCATATTTGCTGTTCTAATACACACTTTAAAAAGAATGTTCCACTTCCTTGGCCCCTCCATGGAGCTGAAGAACTGTTTAATTTGCCATATAGTGAAGTGGCCCTGCTCTTAAGCTACTTCATGATACTAGCAAATTGACAGCATGCTGCTGCAGACCAAACAGAGTTGTTTGAATCCCTATCACCTGGATGTGAGGATTGCACAAATGGCATAGAATTTATTTAGCCCACTCCAACTGTTATGTGTAGGCAACCCCTGAGTTTCGTTCTATAACTTTTCACACACTGGAAGCTCTATCAGCAATAAATTCAAACTGATTAAAATGAAATGCTAACTGAATTACCAACATTTCTATTTTGTATATCAAATCAACTTCTTCCACTAGAGTAGATATAATCAAAATTGCACTATGTTCACATATCAAATAATGAAACTAGTAAATGAATTCCAGAAGAAGTGTTCAACTGGAACACTTAACAGAATTATAAACATTATAATTGTACATTATAATTAACATTAACATTATTTTGTAACACCCATTCTTTTTAGTGAGTACTTCAGCATTCACAAATATATCTGTCACACTAGTCAATGACAAAGGTCTTCCTGACTCTTATAAGCATGATGAGTGTCAACTCTCCCTTCTAAGCTTGGAAAAAGGGAGATTCCTACGGTTCTGCTGTTCTTTAAGGGCCCTCTCTGCCACCTCAGAGGTAAAGCACGACTCAGGAAAAATCTAAACATTTGAATTAATCAAGGTGTATGAATTTCTGAAGAAAATTATAATACAAGAGAACTGTGGGAGAGCTCCCCACCTTCTGCCTTCACACCAGGACTTTTTCAAGTTGTACTACAATTCAGTGACATTTTCAAGCAGTTCAGAGTCCAGTGTGACTACTTCCTTTCAGTTTTAAACTCAGGAAGAGGAGGCATAGAATTAATCCTGTCAGTTTAATGCATTTCTGAGGCTTTCTGTATGCATATAACTCCACATGGCAGCAGTGACAAGACCTCACCACCCCTCAATGAAAGAGCAGCCTGATCCTGACAAATATGAATGTGCAGTCTCCTAGAGTGGTCGAAATGACTAGATAGGCGGGGTATAAATACAATAAATAAATAACTAAAAATAAAGACCTACACAAGAAAGAGTACATAGAATTGTGCCTAATTATGTATATCCTATCCAGTTACAGTGTTAACTGCAGTTTCCTGACCAGGTACTAAGCAGACCAATTAAGATCCATAAGAAAAATTAAAAACATTATTCTGTCACAATGAATGCTTAATTTCCTACTCTTTATGATTCTTCCTCTTGATTTCACTGGATGAGTCATCAGCAGAGTCTTCACTACTTGACGAGTCCTGCAAGTAAGGGCAAAATATAAGGTCCATTTAGATATGAAAAAATAGTGCCACAACATAGCAATTCAATTTCTGCATCAGACCTCATCTATGTCAAAAAATCAACTCAAAACCCCTTTATCACACAACATAATGAAATGTTTTACTGAAGATGAAAACTCAGTATTTTTCTTTTACAAAACACAATTGCCTTAGAACTAACGTGGGGAAGCCTGTGGCTTTTCCAAAGTTGGACTTCAATGACCATCAGACCTAATTAACATGGTCAGTAGTCTATGGACCTGGGTGATAGAGTCCAGCAACACCAGGAGAAGCAGAAGTTCTCTATACTTAGCCTAGAAACATCTGGTGTATTGGCTTGCATTACTATACTGATATTAAACATACTGCACCTGTGTCTAAAATCTTGAAGACATTATTTGATAGGACTAAAATTCTTTTATTCCAGCATACCAAAGTTTTCTCATATAACAAAGCTATACATATCTGCTCAAAAGTAAGTCCTATTCAGTTCAATGAGACTGGCATGTAAGTAGATATATGCAGCCTTAATAGATACTTTTTAAAAAATATATTTATTTTGAATTTGAATAGCATTCCAAATCAAAAACAGTTCCTGATGATTTTGAGACAGCCCTGATGAAGGTGAAGATTATTTTATGAGTAAGATAAGGAATACTGACAGATTAGATTCAGGATGTGAGAAGTATTCCACCACGACTAGATAGGTGGGATATAAATTAAATAAATAATAATAATAAAAGCTAACCATTGGTTCTATTGCTAGGTTCAGCTCTCATTAATATGTAGGTGTTTGGGGATTCTAAATTACAACTGCTAACTCTGTGTGCCTCTGAGATGCAGTGCCTGGTCCACCCACTTATCTGCATTTGACATGCAAAGAAATACAGAGAGTAGTTTATAGTAAATCCAAGTAGACATGACATCTACTGAAGCACACAGTAGATTTCAGATTTGGTTTTAAACTGACTCCATGGTTTTTCCCCTTTTTGTGATACCAGCCAGTAAAATACCACGTTTACATTTTTAAATGTCCACTAATCATTATTTACCTCTTCTGAGCCACTGTTTGAGGATGCAGCTTTTGACTGCTGCTGCTGCTGCAATTGCTGCTGCTTTCGGAGCATTGCAGATCTTTGTACAGCCAAAATACTTGGGTTTGATTTCCAAAACTGAAGGAATTCAAATAAAAACAACATGTAACCACATAAAAGACACTGAATGTACAGATCAGAATTATTTAAATCCACAAGTTTCAAAAGCACCAATCTGCCCTAACTTCTTACAGATGTCATCCTAAGTACTACTTTCATTATTTATCAGGCTAAATTCTAATAACACACTCACTAAACACACCTCCCCTCCTTTCACTACCAACAAAGAATCCTTGGCTAAAATTGTGTGGCAATCATATAAACAGTGTGTGCAATATTCCCAGCTGTCATGCCAGGTTCATGTATATTACCACGGACTTTGTCACACACCTGAGGGTGCGACACAGAGCCACAACAATGTGAAAACTGCTTATGTGGTTTCCTGTACATACACACTATTATGCAATAACACTCTGGCCCTGCAGGTTTAATTCTGAACACTATTAACTGGCATTTTTCAAAGATGTCCTCTTAAGTTATTAGTAGTTATCAGACAAGCCTTACTAGGAGCTTACTACAAGGCTACATTCCAAAGATTTATTTATTTTTAAAAATCTAATCCTGCCCCTCAGTACATGTAAAAACTTGAAGTACATCAACACTATCAATAAGCAACAAATGTAATTAGAAAGGAAGAACATTAAACTATTTAGTTAAAATATCATTAACCATAAGCATGATGAAAAGAAAGACCTTTGGCAGTCATTAAAAATTATATTACATAGGAGACAACTGGAATCTGCAGGGAAGAACATTTCACATTGACGTTTGTGATGTTTGCCCTGGTGGCCCTTGCTTGTTTTTCCCTCACAAAGGCTCAAGTCACGTTTTTTTCTCGCTGCCATTAGTGGATTACTTCAATCCACAATATAAATGACGTTTGTCAGCACACTTGTCTTGTGAACAGAAACAGAACTTATTTATTGAAGTGAAGCAGAGGTTTCTCAGACACACATTATACATAAGCAAATCATCAACAGTTCTCTCAGTACATACTTCTTGTCTCTTGCAATTACCACCTTCTCTACCTATTTTCCTAACCAGCTCTATCTCTCTGACTAACCAGCCCTATCTGACTCCTCCTTCTCCCACCAAGCCTCATGTAGCTGCTGACTCCGCCTCTCCAGCCCTCTCATAGGTTCATGCAAATCAGCTCATGAATATGAATAGCATGAGTGACATGGGCGATCGCCACAAGGTTCTACTCTGTAGAAAGCCCTCTGACGAGTCATGGATTCTTTATGTTACCAATGCTGATACTTACAGATGAGCCATCCTAGCTCAGCTCAAAGTCAGGCAGGATTATATAGGTAAGGTGCTCCTATGGGTACCCAGGCTCCAATGCTGTTTAGCACATTTTACCTTAGTATTATCATTTCAAATTGGAGTCAGTGATTAATAGGGATTAGTTCAGATCTTTGGGGACCATAGACTACAGTAACATTCTAATTAATGTAGAGCAACTGCATCCTGCATCAAGAACAGTTTCCAGATAGTCTTTAAAAACACACACCCACAAAATGAAAGTTGCAGTAATTTAACCTGGAAGTAACACAGCACCTGGTAATTATGGCTAGGTTATCCCTGTTAAGGAAGCACTGTTAATGAATCATCTGATGATGGGAAAAGGTACTCATGAAACTGGGGCCAACAGTGTGGAATCTAGGAGCACAGCCAAGCCTGTCCCTTTCAGGCAAAGGCATGCCATTTACAGCAGGCATCAGATCTACTTCCTGCATCCAGGACCTACTAACTAGAGTACTACCATCTTACAAAGAGTCATACTAAAGTTTCCTGACACACTGAATTCATTACTAGCTCCAGGTAACTATTTGGATTGAACCAATTGAGATTATAGGAAAAAGAGAGCTGGGTGTTGTTTACATACTGACAATACCACTCACCAACTTCTGATAATCAGATGTATTTTTGGACTCATTTTCTAAGTTCTAGTGTGCAAAACAAAAGGCCCTTCCTGTGAGCTACACTAGTTCATTAATTGATAGATTTCCCTGACTTTATTGGATTTAAAATGAATCTAAGGATACATCCCTAAGAATGGACGAAATCCTATGAGAAGTCCTAAGAATTCAACAGGAGTCTGTGTGATTTTACCACAAGAGCTGTGACTACCCATTTAGAAACATTTATTTTTATACTTTATAGCAGGAAGAATGTTAAAACAGACTACAGCGATAAGACAATGAGGAGAGGTTTGCATCAAATAACATATTTGTCGCACAACAAATGTTAAGCACCTTACTTATTGCAGAATGTCTGTGTAATCAACACCAACAGTTTTGGTAACAGCGTAAATAATGCAACTTGCTTTCAGTACTTTCTGTAACATTCAACCTCTATGTGCACAACTTCCAACAGCCTCAGCCATTACAGCCAATGGTGAGGGACTATGGGAGTTTTAGACCAAAACCTGGAATGCCACACTTACATATCCATGCTCTAAAGTTACACTCCCTACATCTGAGGAAGGGAACAGTAATCCAAAAAACTTCATGCTGTAATAAATCTGCTAATCTTAGAGGTGCCTGGGCACAGAGACAGAAACAGGGAAAGCTACTTTGAAGTAGTAGGCTGCAGAAGAATTATTTAAGATATCATTACTATAGCAGACAAAAAGAAACTAAGGAAAGACTGCTGGGACACGTGAGGTCATCCACCAAAAGGTACTCAGTACCAGAAGATTCTGAGGAAGCATCTGAGCACATCTGAGTTGCAGTGACCATGAAGAAGAAAACATGGTGCCACAATTAAAAGAGCTAGAGATGTCAGTGAAATCACAACAATATTAAAAACACATGCTAAAAATTAAACAATCCTTTTTTGTGTTTCTTTGGTGGCACACTTGCCACCAAGGTATCCATGGTGTTTATGGCTTTTTAAGTTTTACCGAACTGAGAAGAGCAGCCTTTACTTCAAGTCTGCTAAATAGAACTAAAGAAAAATGGTCTGATTTTGTATACTATTCCTCTTCAAGAGGGGAATTTCTGGCATCTTATCAATTTTAGCAACCTTTTTGAAGAAATAAACTATTTTAGAATTTCTACTACAGTATTTGTGCAAATGTTTACTCTGTAATTTCTAAACAATGGAATTAGTTATATACACAAATGCATTTTACCTCAGCTCCATCAACCCTTGGAGGTTTTGCTTGGACTTTCTTTTCCTTAGATGTGTCAGACCCTGATTCTGACTGACTGCCAGACTCTGATCCAGAGTCTGAATCGCTGCTTCCCGATTGGCTGCTACTTCCATCACTACTGCTTCCAGAACTTGAACCAGATCCCGAACCAGAAGCTGAACCGGAATCATCATCTGACTGGCTGCAATTACAAGTTAAGAGTAAATGTTAACATAAGAGATTAAGAGGGCAAAACCAACACATTAATCCTATCTATAGAGTAGAGCCACTAAAATCAATGGGGCATATGTTTGTTGCAGCCAACAAGCCCTCTTAATTTATGTGGGTCTACTTTGTAAATTAATGACGGATTTAGGCCAGCTTAGTAGTTCAGTGTGTTAGATATCTGGCTGCAGAGCCAAAGGTTTGGAGTTTAATTCCCAAGTGAGCATCCCAGAAGCTCTCTATATCATCCCAGAATGCTCCCAGAAGAAGGGAATAATAAACCACTTCTGAATACTCTCTTGCCTAGTAAACTTTGGAAAGGGTCATCATAAGTTCGAATCAACATGATGGCACACAATTATTATTATTTAGTCCAGATGTCTGTCTACATCTGCAAACTGTGCTCTCAGTCATAAACCTTTCAAAGCACGTGTTAACAAATTTAGCAGCTTTGAATAAGCTTTTAGATGCATTTTTGGGAACACAGACAGAACTTAACCACTAAGAAGCTATGAAACTGTTCAGTTCGTGCTAGACATAGATAATGTTACCATAGCCCAATGTTCAATGATTCTGACTTCAGTCCATATGCCTTATAGCAGCGGACATGCAGATGCAAGTTTTGTTCACATATAATATGTACACAAGCAGCTCGTTCCAAAAACAAAAAAGGCACCATGTTTTATTTTAGCCTTATAGTTACCAATTCACTAGACAGGCAACCACATGAATGTAACTGTATGTGAGTGATTGGACAGTGATCAATCCATTCTTCACTAACCTATATGCTACAAGTTATTTTTTTAAAATGAGATACAGTAAAGAGCTTGTGGCCTACGTTACTATGAAAGGTGGCAAAAAAATTTTACTGGCTGCTAACAGTGATACAATTTTAGGCTCATGCATTTAAAATGTAGCTTAACATGATTACTTTAAGCATAACTATAAATAAAAGTATCTGGCTTCATTTGATCTCTGGATTCATTTGATCTCTGAATCTCAAACAATGTTTTTGCAAAAATATTCTGCAGAACTTTGTCTAATATAATATATAAAACATTATGGGCATGTATTATATACTGCTTTTTGTGTTTGTAATTTAGTCACAGACAAATTAATAAACATGTATAGGTTGCCAACATCAGAAGAGAAAGAAAACATATCCCATTCTTTCAAACACTACTGTCTCTTCTCTGTCACGAGACAGAGAATTAAAAACTAGAAATGAAGGATCGGATCACTCTTTTTGGAACCATTATGTTTTAATGAGATTCTCATAATGACATATGCCCCTGTTACACACTTAAAAGAGAGAGAGAGAAAGAGAGAGAGAGAGAGAGTCAATTTGTAAGTTTCAATACAGCAGACATACTATGCTGTGCTCAACAATGTTTGGAGGTACACCTAGTTCTTTTTTTCAGTATGGATTTTGACAACTGGTTGACAGGACTACAGTTACCAGTGGCATGTACAGTGGTGCCTCAACTTACGAAATTAATCCATTCCAGAAGATGGTCGTAACTTGAAATGGTCGTTAAGTCGAAGCACCATTTCCCATAGGAATGCATTGAAACGTGATTAATCTGTTCCGGCCAGAAAAAAAAAAACCTCACACACACACACACACACACACACAAAAGATCAAACACCACCTCGAAATTTCCCCTGCCTTTTTTCCGATCATAACTTGAAGCTCCGGTCGCAAGCTGAAGCAAAATGTTGCGGCCAGAGCTGGTCATAACTCGAATTGGTCATAAATTGGGACATTCGTAAGTCAAGGCACCACTGTACATGTAATCAAGAAAAAGCAGATAGTTTTTATCACACAACCCTACATACTGTGATTATACAATGCACTGCAGTTACACAAAAGTCTTAATTATATTTTTTACCTCCAATACAACTAGAAGAGGATAGCAGAGATGAGCCCAGCGTGTTATGTTCTTCATGCCCACTTCTGCAGTCCTTTCCCCATGAAACTGAAAACTAGAAGTCCAAATCACACAGCAACCCCTAAACAAGTACAGGCAGCTGCCTGCTGTAAAAATTACTTTCCTAGCACACTAGATATTGATAGGTTTGGCTCTCTTACTTCTACCATCCACAGATAGCAGATGAAACAAGTTGTTTCCAGCACCAAAGGCAAAGAATACAACACGTTTCCCATAAGAAGTAGTATATATTACAAAGATAGAAGACAGAAAAAAATCCTATCTTTCATGAAGTGATTTTATTTCTTATAGCCGTGGAGCTTCTTTCTTCAATATCCACATGAGGTGAAACAGGACCCAACCACTCCCTCACATTTGCCAGCAGTAACATTAATAATGGCTAACCAATGTGCAAAACAAACATCAACAAGCATGACTTCATTGCAGTCCACTTCCCTCGCTCGGAAGATGCCAAAATTGTTCCATGAAGATATACTTCCCTATGTTAAAACTATTCTATATATTTCAGATAATCAAAGTTTTAGTAATCAAAAACTTCCAACTTCTGCCCAGTAGCCGTTGTGACTCCTGTGTAATCGCTTTTGTTGTGTAGAAGCCATTGGAGCCATAGGATGAGTCACAACAGGGTAGTGTGGCTAAATGGCTTAGGACCTTGATACCTGGCAGAACGCCTACTCCCAGCGAAGGCTGCCCGTCCTACCTGTTCTTCCTAGGCAGGACGGCTGAAGACACTGACCCCGAGAGAGGTTTGGAAAGAGAAAACAAGAAATCGAGCCTTCTTGGCAGTTGCTCCTCAGCTATGGAATCAGTTACCACCTGCCATTTGCCAAAACCCGGTTATTCCAACAGGCTGTTCCAACTACAGTGGTGCCTCGCTTAACGAGCGCACCGTTTAACGAAGAATCCGTATAGCGATCCCTTTTTGGGGATCGCTATACGGATCTGCCCCAATCGCCGCACTCGCTTTGCGACGATTGGGGCGTCCGGCGGCCATTTTGGAGGGTAAGCAAGGGGAGGGCGCGAAACCACTGATAGGGGGCCATTTCGGGTCATCCGGTGGCCATTTTGGAGCCGCCGATCAGCTGATCGGCGGCTCCAAAATGGCCGCGGG